GGCCACTTTTCTCGTTCAGCAATGTCCAGGGCCAGCTGGATGGCTTTCACCTCAGCAAACTGACTCGATTTACCCTCTCCGTCAGCAGTTTCTGCAACTTGTTGTCAGGGACTCCATACAGCTGCCTTCCATCTCCGATGCTTTCCCACAATACGGCAAGAGCCATCAGCAAACAAGGCATACTGCTTTTCACTTTCTGACAGTTTATTATATGGTGGGGCCTCTTCAGCGCACACCACCTCCTCCTCTGGTGACATTCCAAAATCTTTGCCCTCTGGCCAGTCCATGATGACTTCTAGAATGCCTGGACGACTGGGATTTCCTATTCGAGTTCGTTGTGTAATTAGTGCAGCCCATTTACTCCATGTAGCATCGGTTGCATGATGTGTAGAGGAGACCCTGCCTTTGAACATCCAGCCCAGCACGGGCAACCGGGGTGCCAGGAGGAGCTGTGCTTCAGTGCCAGTCACTTCCGAAGCAGCTCGAACCCCTTCATAGGCTGCCAGTATCTCTTTCTCAGTTGGGGTATAGCTGGCCTCAGATCCTTTATATCCCCGACTCCAAAAGCTGAGGGGTCGACCTCGAGTCTCCCCTGGAGCTTTCTGCCAGAGGCTCCAGGTAGGACCGTTCTCCCCAGCTGCAGTGTACAGCACATTTTTTACATCTGGTCCGGTCCGGGCTGGTCCAAGGGGTACTGCATGAACTATCTCGCGTTTAATTTGCTCAAAGGCTTGTCGCTGCTCAGGGCCCCATTTAAAATCATTCTTCTTCCGGGTCACATGATAGAGAGGGCTTACAATCGAACTGTAATTTGGGATGTGCATTCTCCAGAACCCCACTGCACCCAAGAAAGCTTGCGTTTCTTTCTTATTAGTTGGTGGAGACATTGCTGTTATCTTGTTGATCACATCTGTGGGGATCTGTCTACGTCCATCTTGCCATTTTATTCCCAAAAATTGAATCTCCTGTGCAGGTCCCTTGACCTTACTCCGTTTTATGGCAAAACCAGCTTTCAGCAGGATTTGGATTATTTTCCTCCCTTTCTCAAAGACTTCTTCCTCTGTATCGCCCCACACAATAATGTCATCAATGTATTGCAGGTGTTCTGGAGCTTGCCCCTGTTCCAGTGCAGTCTGGATCAGTCCATGGCAAATGGCAGGGCTGTGTTTCCACCCCTGGGGCAGTCGGTTCCAAGTGTACTGGACACCCCTCCAAGTAAAAGCAAACTGTGGCCTGCACTCTGCTGCCAAAGGGATTGAGAAAAATGCATTGGCAATATCAATCGTGGCATACCACTTGGCTGCCTTTGACTCTAGTTCATACTGAAGTTCTAGCATGTCCGGTACGGCAGCACTCAATGGTGGTATGCCACGATTGATATTGCCAATGCATTTTTCTCAATTCCTTTGGCAGCAGAGTGAGGACAGAAGAGGTAACTTCTCGACCTCGGACCTCAACCGAGCTGCGGAATATGCGAAAAGATTTTACCCGTCAACCAGGGGAGCACATCATCACCTGGTTACTCCGATGCTGGGACAACGGGGCCGATGGTCACGAACTAGAAGGTACAGAAGCCAAGCAGCTGGGATCACTTGCTAGAGAAGGGGGAATTGACAAAGCAATTGCAAGAGAGAAAAAGTCCCTCAGCCTTTGGAGGCAGCTCTTGGCAGCTGTGAAAGAAAGGTTTCCGTACAAGGACGATGTTGAGTCGTTCGGCCAAGTGGACTACTGTAGACAAAGGCATCCAGTCTCTGAGGGAATCAGCCATCGTAGAGACGCTCTATCACATCAAGCCGAATAACGGGGATACACCTATAGATCCAGATGAAGTTGAATGTACACGACCCATGTGGCGAAAACTTACACGGAATGCGCCGTCATCATATGCCCATTCATTGGCAACAGTAACCTGGAATGACATAGTACCACTAACAGTGGATGAAATGGTTCATAAACTCCGAGAGTTCGAAGACAACCTCACCCCTTCCATTATCTCAGCTGTGGAAAAACTGTCCCAGGACCTCGAACAATTGAGGGACGATCTATCTGATTTATCCGGCTCCTCACGTGTACCAACACACGTCTCAGCTATTAACAAAAGGCGTCCTATTGTTCAAGAGAGGAGATACAGGAGGTATACACCACGGGGTACCCTATGGTTTTACCTGTGGGATCACGGAGAAGACATGACAAAGTGGGATGGAAAACCTACTTCAGCTTTGGAGGAGCGGGTGAGTGAACTGAAGAGGGGGGCAAGGGCCAAGACTGATCGTCCCATGAGAGCTACGGCCTCAGTCTCTGGTGAGCAGTTTCCCAGATGGAATGGAAGAGCTGATTTTACTCCAGCTCCTGTGATAACGAAGAATAATCCCTTTCACCACGACTTAAGCGTCCAATGCTGTGACGACCATTAGAGGGGCCCTGCTTCCAGCCAGGTGGAGGTAGGGGACAATCGGATTTACTGGACTGTGTGGATCAGATGGCCTGGCACATCAGTCCCACAGAAGTATAAGGCTCTAGTAGATACCGGTGCACAGTGTACCCTGATGCCATCAAGCTGTCAAGGGGTGGAACCCATCTATATTTCTGGAGTAACAGGAGGATTCCAAGAGTTGACTGTGCTGGAGGCTGAAATCAGCCTGACTGGGAGGGAATGGCAAAAGCACCCTATTGTGACTGGTCCAGAGGCTCCATGCATCCTCCGCATAGACTACCTCAAGAGAGGGTACTTCAAAGACCCAAAAGGGTACCGGTGGGCTTTTGGTATTGCTGCTTTGGAGACTGAGGAAATTGAGCAGCTGTCCACCTTGCCTGGTCTCTCAGAAGATCCAGGGCCAGTGGTAGAAACTGAGGAAAGCCAGGAGGCAGCACCTGAAGAGCAAAGCAATCCAGCTGCTAAACCCACTGCTGCAGGTGTGGAGAAGGTCAGCTGCTGCATTCCTGAGGGCGTACCCATAGACATCACGGTCAAGCTGATGGTGTGATTAGTTCACTTGAACATACTAGAGCCACTCAGTCCTCTTTTGACCACTCTGGTGGAACAAAATCCAGAGGAAATGGGTGACTTGTATTTGGATGTCGCAGAGGCATTTCTGGATGCTGGAGAATAGAACTCAGCACTGCCTCTCCTGAGTTCCCTTGTCTGTTCAGAACGATATAACTTGGCTGTTATCTGGCTTCGGCATGCAGAGTGCTTGAAGGCTTTGGGGCACATGGAGCGTGCTGCAGAGAGCTATGCCAAAGATGTTGACCTTGCTCCACTGCATCTGGATGCAAGAATCTCACTTTCAACACTTCAGCAGCAGCTGGGCCGACCCAAAAAAGCTCTGGAGGCTCTGGAACCAATGTATGATCCAGATACATTGGCTCAGGATGCTAATGCTGCCCAGCAGGAATTAAAGCTACTTCTCCATCGTTCGACGTTGTTGTATTCCCAAGGCAAAATTTATGGTTATGTAGACACTTTACTTACAATGCTGGCAATGCTGCTGAAGGTAGCAATGAGCAGAGTCAGGAAGGGGAGAGCCCCGGGGGACGGACCTCGATTGTTGTCAGCTCGGCACCACTCACTGGGAGTGAGTGAACAAGCTACCTGACTGGGTTTAAACCATGACAGTTCTTTTTGGCGCCCAACGTGGGGCACGAGGGGTTGAGATAAGAACAGATCTGACTGGATTGATAGTCACTCATCACAATGCTGATTTATTGGCTCTCAAGGTTGTTCCTCTTGATCTCACAGTTTCAGTATATCGTATCTTACGTCCATCTGGTATTTGCTGTATTAGTGTTTTTCAAGTGTGGGGCTTGGGCTAAGGTTTTTGTCCCATTGTACTTTATGGTAATGACTTGTAATACAATAGAATCATTGATCATGAAACTGATCTGGCTTATGTTCCCAGTGTGGTCACCACCTTTATACTTTGAGAGGTATATGATGGAGGTGCTTAGCAATTACACATCTTTTTTCTCCTTCTCAGGTGCTCAACCTGCGAAGGAGACATCCTTTTACCCTCCCAGTCGTCCCCCCAGACCATTTACATTTGAGAGTTTTGAATTTTTTGAATGGCCTTTTAATGCTGTTGAGACTTGTTTGCTGATGGTGATGAGAATCACCATGCTAACACGCATACAGAGTGTGTTTTACCCACTACTGATTTCAAGAGTTAAGCAGAGTTAGGTTTGGGTCTTGTCTGGGGTCAAACAGCGATGTAGGAGGACCAAGAGATTTTCCCTGAGGCTGGACAGCCATGAGTGGCAGGGTGTGTGGGATAGTATGGGCAAGTATCTAGGTCAGTGGGCCCCTTCAGTACTTTGGAATTTCACTACCGAACAACTGCAAAATCCAGAAGAATTAGTAAAACACTTAAATGAGGTGTGTGGTCATTCTGGCCATACCAGAGATGGACAAATCATGACAACGTGCTGGGGCTTGGCCTATGCTTACAGGGCCTTGTTCAACACTATCCAGCACCTTCAAAAGGAAAAGAATGTCGGCGGATCTGAGGGCAAAGCAACAGTCGCTACTCAAACTTTGGCTGCAATGAACAGCGCAGCTACCCCAGTGGCAAGTACAGCAGCTGCTCAAACTTCAACTGCAACAGACAGTGCGGTTACCCCAGCTCCAAGCACAGCAGCTGCACCAACCCCAGCGACAAGTACAGTTGCTACTCAAACTTTGGCCTCAATGAACAGAGCAGCTACCCCAGTGGCAAGTACAGCAGCTGCTCAAACTTCAACTGCAACAGACAGCGCAGTTACCCCAGCTCCAAGCACAGCAGCTGCACCACCCCCAGCAACAAGTACAGTTGCTACTCAAAACACAGCACTGCACCAGCTACCACAAAGGAAAAAAACATGACTGCTACTGCTGAACCCAGGACATTATAATAATTTATATAATAATTTATATAATAATATAAGTTGTATTAATAATTTTCTACGAGTGCAATAATTGAGTGCTAATTACATTAATAATTTTCTACGAGGTTCTCCCTGTGCGGGCCGTGCCGGCGCGATGTCGGGCTTCAGCCCAGAGCTGATCGATTACCTGGAGGGGAAGATCCCCTTTGAAGAGTTCGAGCGGCGGTGGGAAGAGCGCAAGAGCCGCGAGAAGGATGGTGAAAATGCATCTGGTGAGGAAAACACGGAAGATACAGAGGCTCCATCATCATCTAGAAAAGCATCTGGGAAATCCCAAAGTCAGGATGAAACTGATGGTGAAACTTCAGATGGCGTCAGTAAGTCTGTTCATCAGGTCTTTGCATCCATGATTGGGGAAAATGAAGAGGAGGAGGAGGAGGAAGAGGACGATGAAGAAGAAGAGGAAGAAGAAACTACTGAGCAACCCACAGCTGGAGATGTTTTTGTGTTGGAGATGGTACTTAATCGAGAGACCAAGAAAATTATGAAAGAGAAAAGACCTCGCAGCAAACTTTCTCGTGCCTTGAGGGGTCTGATGGGAGAGGCCAATATCAGGTTTGCTCGAGGGGAGCATGAGGAGGCTATTCTAATGTGCATGGAAATCATTCGACAAGCTCCTCTCGCTCATGAGCCGTTTTCCACTCTTGCCATGATCTATGAAGACCAGGGTGATATGGAGAAGTCGTTACAGTTTGAACTGATTGCAGCTCACTTAAATCCGAGTGATACCGAGGAATGGGTCAGACTAGCAGAAATGTCACTGGAACAGGATAATATCAAACAGGCTATTTTTTGCTACACAAAAGCTCTGAAATACGACCCAACCAAAGTGCGTTACCTGTGGGAGAGATCAAGCCTGTATGAACAGTTGGGATGAACATAAAATGGCTATGGATGGCTACAGATGGATTCTGAATCTCCTGTCTCCCACTGATGGAGAGCGATTTATGCAGTTGGCTAGAGACATGGCAAAGAGCATGAGACTCTTAATCTCAGGGTCGTGGGTTCGAGCCCCACGTTGGGCGCCAAAAAGAACTGTCGTGGTTTAAACCCAGTCAGGTAACTTGTTCACTCACTCCCAGTGAGTGGTGCCGAGCTGACAACAATCGAGGTCTGTCCGCCCTCCCCCACCGGGGCTCTCCCCTTCCCCGCTCCTGGAGGAACGGGGTGGAGGATCGAAAGAGTGCAACTCCTACGGGTTGAGACAAGAACAGTCCAGCAACCAATGTACAACACAAATCACCACCGCTACTATCAACTACAACAATGATAAGGGAAAATAACAAGGGAAGAGAATACAATACCACCGGCCAAGAAAACGAGTTCCACCCGGAAGCCCGTGTCCTTCCGGGTAACTCCCAGTTACCCCCCACCCCGGGCATGACGTGCTGTGGTATGGAATACCTCCCTGGCTAGCCCGGGTCAGGCGCCCCATCTCTGCTTCCTCCCGGCTTCCCCTCCTCCCTGGCAGAGCATGAGCCTCACAAAGTCCTTGGTCAGCGTAAACATCACTTAGCAACAACTGAAAACATCGGCTTCACCAACACTGTTCCCAGGCTGGAAGTCAAAACACAGCACTGCACCAGCTACCACAAAGGAAAAAACATGACTGCTACTGCTGAACCCAGGACACAATGCCACCACACCACAAGTGCTTGCACAAATCACTGTTCATGTCAAGAGAAACATGAAAGGGAGTTTTGAAATGTCTTGTCACGGAATGAGCTGATGGACAAGGTTTTTGACAAAATATTTCATTTTCTCAGAAAATTTCAATTGTTGAAACTTCAAGCTTGCTTTTCATTAAATTGCAGAGGCGGTCCACATACTGCAAGGTGTGATAGCTCCAGTGAAAGAACTGTATAATGATGTTTTAGATAGATAACATAAAATCATTTAAATGGTGGTGTTGCAAGACACAGATGTGACTAAGCTCTACTACTACCACCACCAAAAGATTTAAATCATGTTTTAGAGGCAGCCAGACTACAGTGCCCATGGACTAGATGACTCCATCTGAGTGCTAAGACACATTTTCCTGGTCTTCTGGTCATTACCTGTTTTCATGGATGATTGCTACCAGAGCCTAGGTAGAGGAGAAGGAGGAAATTAAAGGCAACAAAAGGAGAGGAGGAAAAATAATACAATGCTGACTGTCAGTCCATGCAAGTGTATCAATATGAGTCTAATTGTTGATCTTTCAGACCAGTGGGCCAAATCAAGTTATTCCATCTTGTTGTATGTCCCAGAACTAAATTCAAAAATAATGTTAAGGCTTCCTGGACAGAACCCATAGACTGTTTTTTTAATTTGTTTTAACACAAAGCATTTAGTGTAAGGTCTATGAAATCTTTGCTTTCTGTGCAAACAAGCTTAAGGGAACTCTTGTATTCCACAGAAACACCCCTGTGGTTGCTCATAGTTTCAGATACACACCAACTTGTCTGAAAAGTCCTTGTAAAAACAAATTTAGGAAACCTTGGAACTAGCTGAGCAGGGATGTGTAGACTTTGGAAGCTGGTAACGAGACAGCTTGTCACTGAGAGCCCCAAGTGGCTTGAGTATCTGCGGCTTTTGGGGAGAAAATTCACTGTAGGTCCCAGAATGCAGTCATGAGGGTGACCCTCTTCTTCTCTTGTACACCTAGAGGCAGAAAATATTTGTATGAAGATGCAGTGTGTGTAGCTATGCAGGGAAATGTAGCACACCCAGGTTTTGAAAGCGTTAAGTGAGCAGGGTGAAACATCAGCTTTGCATGGGAAGGGATGGGGGAGGCATCTCAGAGTGCTCTGATGGATCTGCAGAATACTGGAATCTGCACAGAAACCAAAATTTGGAAGGCTCTGGCAAACCTGAGAGCTGCCAGTGACAAACGACATCCTTTCCAGACAAAACACCCAGCTATGAGTCACCAAGTCAAGCACTAAGTTATCTGCTTTAAAGCTTTTGTAGCAAAACAAGCTCTTAGGAGGAGATGCTGAGCAAGTAAGGAGGGAATATGATGGAATGGAAGGAGTTTCTGTCAAACACAAAAGTATAAAGGGTTTGCAATGGCCATCTTGAGCTGAGTGATTAAACCCATGTTAAAAATTGTGATTTGTAAATATATGGTTCTACATCCTACTGCAGGCAAATAAACACACCAAGTACCAACATCAACTCTTGTTTGCTTACCTGGTCTTCTTAACAAAAGATCTTAGGTTTGCAGGAGAGAGATCATCATTCCCAAATGAGGTTGCTCTTTGGGATACCGTTCCCTTTTCCGTCCAACTCTCACAGTAAAATGCCACTTTCAAATTTACAATAATCTAGAAATGCACTCACTGAATGCCCCGAAGGAGGGATCACCAATAGTGACAATACCAGAGCCCACCAAGACCAGTTTTACTTCTCCCTCCCTGCTTTGCAGCCCTAAAGACAGACGGCACGAACCCCCTGCTAACTGCACTGTAGACTCACTCACACAAGGTACTGACTGCCTTTCCCAAAACGAAGGACATCTACGTAAGCGAATGTTCTTCCTGACACATTTCTCCTGTTAGTTTACCATCATCTTATTTTCAAGGCAGTGCCCAGGGTCATGGCTGTGTAATTCCCACCTCAGCTGGCAGAGAACACGAACCAGTTAGAAACAGAGCAGCTCAAGTGCCAACATCAACACAGATTTATTTCATTAGTCTGTATAAGCTGTCTGGTGCTATTTAAAGCTCACTTTGGCAAGACCTATGGACAACAGGCATGCTGGCAAAGGGAGGGAATTTGAAAACATGCCTCTCTGCTCTCCCTCTTCAGCCAGCAACCCTGCTCCAGGAAAGGCCCTGAATTGCTCTTCTGCCCCCATTGGCCAAACCCATTGTGGTCCTCAGGGCACTGGGATGAAGGCCAGGGAGGGCTTTCAGCACTCATGGCCCAAGGAGAGGATGGTGCCTCCTCTCATCCCAGTCTCTTAGGCACTCACAGGAGATACCCTCAAGCAGAAGCCCCCATACGGGGGAATGGGTCGCACCTCCTACACCTTGATGGGGAACGCTCATTTCATCCTAGAAAAAAAGCAAACCTTTCTCTACCCTTATTGCAAAGATTAGGAAACAGAGATATGAAATCAGGTGTCTCTGACACAGCTCCCCACCTATTCACACATTCTTGTCAGACCTGATTCTATTTTCCTCCACTTTGTGCTTTTAAAAATAGCTCGAAGAATGTGGCTTTTAAGCATTGTAAAGATTGTGGCACAATACAATACAGGTCACTTTTTTCACTGTTTTGTGGCTGATTAAAATAGAAGCTCCTAAGTACTACTTACTATAATTTTCATCTCCCACACAAAGCCTATTTATCTCTCTTCCCCCAAAGTCAATTACAGGCTTTGTTACTAAAACAGGGAATCAATTTGTAGACATACCAGTCATTGATAACTTTTCAATCTTCTACCCCAGTTAGGCTTTATTTAGTGTGTATATATAGGCTCCCAGTTACTAGGCAGCATTTAAACGTGAATTCATATTTCTTGCAAGTCTTTGTTATTTTATATTAGGAATAAAACGTTTAGAGTTACCCATGTCTTCCTTTGGGATCTTGATGCTGTAAGCAAATTCTTTATTATGTTGGGGAAGGTGTGCCCTGTAGAAAAAGAATACTTTGGCAAAGTTTTGGTATACACTATAGTAAAAAGAAGTTGTAGTTTTGAGAGAGAAATAAACATAAAGATGCAATTCTCTTTTAATTATAGAACATAGAGTTTCTCTCTGCACTATAGAATCATACAATGATTTGGAAAGGACCTTTAAGATCATCCAGTTCCAAACTCCTTGCCACAGGAAGGGACACCTTCCACTAGACCATGCTGCCCAAGGCTCTGTCCAACCTGGCCTTGAACACTGCCAGGAAAGGGGCATCCGCACCTGCTCCAAGCAACCTGCTCCAGTGCCTCACCATCCTCAAAGTAAAGGACATCTTCCTTATACCTGATCTAAACTTCCCCTGTTGTCATGATCTAAACTCCCCCAGTTGCCATGCAGCCTGCTTGCTCACTCCCCCCCTTCCTCCCCCCGCCCCTCTCCCCGAGGGATGGGGAGGAGAATCGAAAGAATGCAACTCCCACAGGTTGAGATAAGAACAGTCCAGTAACTAAGGTATAACACAAATCACTACTGCTACCACCAATAGTAATAATGATAAGGGAAATAACAAGGGGAGAGAATACAACCACTCACCACCTGCCGACCGATACCCAGCCCAATCCAAGCAGTGATCAATCCCTGCCGGGTAACTGCCTCCAGTTTAACTGACGTGCTGTGGTATGGAATACCTCTTTGGTCAGTTTGGGTCAGGTGTCCTGTCTCTGCTTCCTCCCGGCTTCCCCTCCTCCCTGGCAGAGCATGAGACTCACAAAGTCCTTGGTCAGAGGAAACATTACTGAGCAACAACTACGTGGTGTTATCAGCACTGTTCCCAGGCTGAATGTCTAAAACACAGTGCTGCACCAGCTACTAAGAAAGAGAAAAATGACTGCTACTGCTGAACCCAGGACACCTGTTTAAACCCATTACCCCTTGTCCTGTCGCTACAGTCCCTGATGAGTCTGCCTCCAGCATCCCTATAGGCCCCCTTCAGAGACTGGAAGGCTGCTATGAGGTCTCCACGCAGCCTTCTCTTCTCCAGGCTCAACAGCCCCAACTTTCTCAGCCTGTCTTCATACAGGAGGTGCTCCAGCCCCCTGATCATCCTCGTGGCCCTCCTCTGGACAATGATACTTCTGTAGATGGACGGTACTATGACTGGTAATAGATTTAAGGGTCACATAAGAATTTGCATTAAAATAGATAAATCAAAATTAGATACAGTTTGAGCCAGATACAGCAATAGCCTCTGCATCCTTACAGATGAGCCTCCAGCAAGCTGATTGTAATGGATACTGTAATATTAACAGTGAAACTCCAGGACTTTGTTGATCACTGTGTTACCATC